TGTGTATGGACCTGAACGTTGTGTACGGACCTGAACGTTGTGTACGGACCTGAACGTTGTGTACGGACCTGAACGTTGTGTACGGACCTGAACGTTGTGTACGGACCTGAACGTTGTGTACGGACCTGAACGTTGTGTACGGACCTGAACGTTGTGTACGGACCTGAACGTTGTGTACGGACCTGAACGTTAAATATGAACAAAAACGTAAAGAACGGACCCCTAATACAACACACGAACGAGGATAGAACACAAGAGTGAGAGAACACATGAATAAGAGAACACACGAATATGAATAGAACATACGAATGAAGATAGAATACACGAATAAGGATAGAACACATGAATAAAGATAGAACACACGAATGAGGATAGAACACACGAACGAGGATAGAACACACGAATGAGGATAGAACACACGAATATGGATAGAACACACGAATAAGGATAGAACACACGAGGATAGAACACACGAACGAAGATAGAACACACGAACGAGGATAGAACACACGAATGAGGATAGAACACACGAACGAGGATAGAACACACGAATGAGGATAGAACACACGAAAGATGATAGAACACACAAATAATGATAGAACACACGAAAGAGGATAGAACACACGAATAAGAATAGAACACACGAACGAAGATAGAACACAGTTATGCAGCCGCCGCCCTTACCAAAGACGTTGTTTTGCTGAACCATTATTTTTTTTATTTTTTTTTTTTAGTATTTTTCTGTTGCCTTTTGCCTAGTTATTTTTTTTCCACCAGGCTAACGATGTCTTCAATTAGACTTAAGACGTGAAATTCGCGTGGCATCAGTTAGACTTTGAGCGGAATTAGCGTCCGAGGTTAGGCGAAAATTACCGTCGAAAGATGAGCAAAATTATCGTTCCAGAATTATTGTTGCCAATTTTTATTTTTATTTTTTTTTTTTGACCAAAATAGGCTTCTCAGGTTTACCTCAATTGTTTGATAGGATTTTTTTTGTCGAAGTCGATACGATACATGATTATTTTTTTCAATTACTTTAATACAGTAAAAATATGACGACAATTATGACAACAATAATTATTCTCTGATCAGATTATAGCAAAGTAAAATATCTGAAAATTATAATATTGCAATCTGGTTGGTAAAAAAAAATAATTTACGTGATTATGCTAAATTATTGAATTATATTATACAAAACTCTGTTGTGCAGAATTGCTGAGTTAATTGTACGTCATTTTGCAGAAAAAAACAACATTCCCATTCATGATTGTTGTAAATTATACAACGTGGTTATACCCAATATAATTGTAAATGATTACTCTAAAATTGTTACTAGGTGTTTTGTACAATTATTATAGATTTTCTTGGAAAATAATCATACGCAACTATTGTGCATTAACTTTCGCGATAATGTAACATTAATTCACGATTATTCAACATTAATTCCAGATCATTCAACATTAATTAACGATTAATCAACATTAATTAACGATTATTCAACATTAATTAACGATTAATCAACATTAATTCACGATTATTCAACATTAATTCCAGATCATTCAATATTAATTAACGATTAATCAACATTAATTAACGATTATTCAACATTAATTAACGATTAATCAACATTAATTAACGATTATTCAACATTAATTCACGATTATTCAACATTAATTAACAATCATATAACATTAATTAACGATCATTCAATATTAATTAACAATTATTCAATATTAATTAACGATTATTCAACATTAATTCACGATTATTCAACATTAATTAACGATTAATCAACATTAATTAACGATTATTCAACATTAATTAACAATTATTCAATATTAATTAACGATTATTCAATATCAACTTAATAGATAATTCAGCATTAATTATTGCTATAAGTCAAAATTAACTTTCGCGAAAATTTAACATTGACTTTCGCGAATATTCAAAAATTTATCGTTGAAAATATACAAATTACTTTTTAACTTTAGCTTAGAAAGCTATACATCTCAGAGATTATCTTCAAGATCTCTTTAAGCAGTTAACCTTGCGTGCCTTGAGCAAGGTTTCTCCAGTGTTCGGTCTCCTGCAGTGTTCGGTCTCCTGCAAAAGTTCGGTCTCCTGCAGTGTTCGGTCTTCTGCAGTGTTCGGTCTCCTGCAAAAGTTCGGTCTCCTGCAGTGTTCGGTCTCCTGCAGTGTTCGGTCTCCTGCAAAAGTTCGGTCTCCTGCAGTGTTCGGTCTTCTGCAGTGTTCGGTCTCCTGCAAAAGTTCGGTCTCTTACAGTGTTCAGTTTTCTGCATTGTTCGGTCTTTTACAGCATTATTACCCCATTAGATAAAGAATCTGAAACTGGGAAGACTGTTGCTAAGACATAGAGAGAGAGAGAGAGAGAGAGAGAGAGAGAGAGAGAGAGAGAGAGAGAGAGAGAGAGAGAGAGAGAGAGAGAGAGAGAGAGAGAGTAGATATAAATAAAAATAAGACACAAATATATATATGTATAGTTTGAGACTCGTTGATAACATGATGATACATAATTAATGTTTAGTCGCACCAGATGATAGACAGGAAGACAGGTGTAGAGGGAGAGGGGGAGGGTTGTGTTGACGGTGCAGTGTTGGTGTTGACGGTGCAGTGTTGGTGATGATGTTGATGGTGATGTTGATTCCTGGAGTGTTGACAGTCTTTACCTATCAGTAGTTACGTATGAGTGACTATGCAGAAGTAAGGTTCAGCTCGTGTGTCCCTACACAACGCCTAACGCCCTCTCTTACCTGTTGTGTTAAAATTTAACTATCTTAATGTTTACATTCTTTGACGTATCTGGCCTTAAAGTTGGGGATGGAGGTGGCTTCCACAACTTCTTCTTTCACATGTTACCACCACCCGTACAGGTTACTATCATTTCCTTGCAATTTCTTCGACTCGTTTGACTCCAGCTTCAGCTTATGCCTCTCGTCCTATTTTCTCTCAGTTTAAAGAGGCTGTTCTTATCCACCTTGTCTATTCCTCTCGGTATCTTTCATGTTATGGTCATATTCCCCCTCTTTTTTTTCTTCTCTAGGAAGGTGAGGTTCAGTACCTGTAAACTATCTTTTTACAAATTGTATTCTTTCAATTTTATTTTCCGTGCTTCATAAGGAAGGATGGGGATTCAAGGCTGGTGTTGCATATTCTAGTATTGGTCTAACAAAGGATGAGTAGAGTGCCTTTGAAAGATCACTGATTTTGGTTTCTAAACGATGTTTTAATATTTGTCAGCGTCGCACATGCTGCTGATGTTACCCAATACCGGTGTGTGTGTTGAAATTATATCCACTTTCAGATATTGTTCTTTTACTTATTCCTGTAGTTGCCTGCGTCCTTATGGTGTAAATAACTCCTGGTCTCCTATCTCTCTCTCCGAGCTGCGTTACCTTACACTCATTGGGGTTTATTTCTAGCAATCATTCGTCTGCACACACTCCTGGGGTTTGAAAAGGTGTTCTAGTAACTTTCTACAGCACTCCTCAGTTTTTACATTCCTCTCTGACTGTAACTGTGTCATCAGTCTTTCAGGTACCCCCAGATCAGAGTATTTCCAGTTATCCCAGCCAGACTATCTAGGAAAATTAAATCTTCACATTCTTCTTCTTCCCGTCTTAGGAAACCTCTCATAGATAGATCTCCATCAAGTTTGTCAAACACGACTTTCTCTTTCTAAATCCACGCTGACCTTGCGTTACGAAGCTTATCCTCTCAAGGTCATGATGGTGGTGTCAAGGTGCTCTGTTAACCTACACTTTCTCGAGGTTGAACTCTAACGGCCATTTGTTAATGACAATACTGATTGATGATAGTGTTCACGGTGGTGTATTTGTCGTGGTTGATGTTGACGTCAGTGTGAACGACGGTGTTGACGGAGGTACTGACGGAGGGGTGAGGGGTGTTGACAGTAGTGCTGACGGTGGAGACGGGTGTTGACGAAGGTGTTGACGAAGGTGTTGACGAAGGTGTTGACGTTGGTGTTGATTTTGCAGCATCACCGCGGGTGGTGGAGGTACCAGGAGATGTCGAAGTGGAGGAGGGCGCCCCGCTACTGCTGGTGTGCGCCGTGCAGGGCTACCCAGCCCCTCTGGGCTACTGGACGCGGGAGGGCTCCCAGACCATCCTCCCGGCCGCCCACACGCCCATGGTCGGCGTGGGCGGCGGCGGCGGCGGCGGGGAGGAGGAGGAGGAGGGCCTCGAGGGCGTCAAACTGGCCTACTCCGTCTCCCGCGCTAATCACCATGACGCAGGTCGATACATCTGCGGCGGCGTCAACACCGCGGGCGGGGTTATGACTCGCGTGGGCGTACGGGTCCGCCCCGCCCACCTCCTGCCCCCGCCCATCATCTCCGTGCCGCCCATCAACCAGACGCTGCCCCTCAGGGGTCACGCCGCCATGACCTGCCGCGTGTGGGGGTCGCCGGCCCCCACTGTCACCTGGCGCCATAACGGCAGACTTGTCACCTCCACGGAGCGACGGGCGCTTCTCCCCGACAACACCCTCACTATAGACGGTAAGTCTAGCCCCGCCTGTCTAGTCTGACCCTCACCGTAGACAGTAAGACCCAACCACCACCTCCTTGCTAACAACAATTAAATATTTAAATGTAACCAAGAACTTTCTCATTTCCTGTATTCATGCATAAATTTTCCAACATCATTATTAGGTGAATAATATATATATATATATATATATATATATATATATATATATATATATATATATATATATATATATATATATATATATATATATATCACTAAGAACTCTTTAACCCAGCCAGGATTCGAACCCATGCCGTCCAGGTTCACCCCTAAACGTACACAGTACGTTTAGGGGTGACATAATATGGACGTCAGGACGACCCTGACGTCCCTGGGATGCCCCTCACTAACCCCTGACGTCCCTGGGATGCCCCTCACTAACCCCTGACGTCCCTGGGATGCCCCTCACTAACCCCTGACGTCCCTGGGATGCCCTCACTAACCCCTGACGTCCATATTATGCTTTATAGTCATAATAGCTTAGCGCTTTCTCCTGATTCTGTGCTTCCCTTCCCTAAGAACTAGCCGCCGAGGACGCCGGCCAGTACGCGTGTGTGGCGTCCTCGCCCAGGGGCGTGACGGAGTCCCGCGCCGTCCTCACCGTCGCCTCCCCCGCCCAGCCGGGCGTGGTGTTCTCCCGCGCCCCCGACCCTGACACGGCGCCGCGCCCGCCCGCCACGCCCACGGTACGCGCCAACAACGGCACGGCCGCCGTGGTGGAGTGGACGCCCCCGGAGCGGCAGGGGGCGTCCCCCGTCACCGGGTACACTCTGGAGTACTACAGTAGTGCCGGGGCGGCTTGGAAGGTCGCTGCCGCCCACACGCCCCTCACCACCTTCACGCTGGCGCCCCTGGATGCCGCTAACACCTACGGCGTCACCGTCCGTGCCCATAACGCCCACGGGGTGTCAGAGCCATCGGGCATTGCGGAGGTGGGCGTGGGCGGCGGGTGGGTGCGGGCGGGGGAGGAGGAGATGAGGCTTCAGGAGGCCAAGGTGGTTCTGCAAGATGCTGTTCCTACGGGTCAAGCTTCCGCCAAGATCCTGTGGCAGGTAAGAGGTGTGTGTGTGTGTGTGTGTGTGTGTGTGTGTGTGTGTGTGTGTGTGTGTGTGTGTGTGTGTGTGTGTGTGTGTTCTTTTTATTTCAACATATCCGTACCATAACTAATATTTTTTTGTTAAACAGTAACAGTAAGCTTACATCATTCAGTATGAACAAATCCACAAGGGCTGTGACGAGGATTCGAACCTGCATCCGGGAGCATCCCGGACGCAGGTTCGAATCCTCGTCACGGCCCTTGTGGATTTGTTCATTTGATGCATCACGTTAGTGTGATCTCTGTGTGTGATCATTTAGTATGTTGAGCGAACATTCTAGAGAGACAATTTTTAAAACCAACGGCTGATATATGACACAGGAACGTTTTCAAATGGACCAATCATCATCGAGGTGGGCCAAGCGACCAACTGGACGAGTCACATTTGGTAGCCTGTCCTCAGAGAGGCGATCCACTCAAGGGAATGGCTTCGGAATGTCTACATAATTAGTGCTATTATCTACTCTCTGTCCATGGTTATGTTCGGTTAAGGTAACTTTAGGTTAAGATTTGGTTAGGTTAGGTTTCATTACGTTTGGTTACGTTAATATAGTGTATTGATGACTTTAATGTGAAATATGGAATTCAAAACTATTTTAGTGTGCCCAATAAATCTTGTTACAGAAAACCAAACTCTTATAAGAAAACTTTTCAGCATACACTTTTTATATTTTAAACCAACGCTTTAAAATGCAATAACGTTATAACCTGAGAATAAACTTTGTTTACGACAAAGGTTCACTTGCCAGTTTATACATGTAGACTGTTACTGGAACCGTAATATGCTCTCAGACCATCACAAATATCAAGATAACGCTATCCAGGTGGTGTGAGGAGAAGAGGGGGGGGGGTTGGGTGGGTGTGGCCGCTGGGGGTAATGGATTCACTCTGAGGTCGGGCTCTGTGCACCGTGAATATAAATCGTGTCCAAAGAAAACGGTCATTCTGGCGCGAGAATTGGAATAGTAATGATGTCAACAAGTCGCTAACGGCAGGAATTACTCCTCTTGCTCCATTGAGGAAAAGAGGAAAACCAACAAACCTTTATCGTGATGACGCTGAAGAGCGGTGAGGTGTCACGAGCCGTCGGGAGACGTCAGCAGTGCTCAGTAACAAGGGTCATCTCCCAAGGTAAGGTAGTCAGGAACACTCGCTAGGCCAGTATGACTGTATAGTACTCGATAGTGATACGAGGACAAGAAGCTGGGTAAAGGAACGATGCCTAACCATCGGAGATCGTGCGTCTACCTTGAAAGATGCAAGGGGGGGGGGGGGGGGGGGGTTCCTCGCCCTACACTCGACCAGTCCAAGATGTGGTCATCCACGAAGACCACTTGACAACTATACGTGAGAGCAACAAGTAGGGCAGCGTGTTGTAGAGGCGTCGAAGAAAGAGAAGGTGGCAGAAACAACGTCAGTTGATTCATTCATTCATTTATTATTATGCACTCTATACCCATGCCATGGGCCGTGGTGGGAAGGGTTACAGAGGCACCTAATGTATTTTTATTTATTTATTTATTTATTTATTTATTTATTTATTTATTTACATATTCAAGAGTTGTTATATTTTGTACAGCCACTAGCACACATAGCGTTTCGGGCAGGTCCTTAATCCTAATTTTTCCCCGGAATACGACCCACCAAATCGTTCAACAATCAGGTACCCCCATTCACTTTTGGGTGAACAGAGACTACAGTTAAAGATTGGCGCCAAGTCAATCTTCCCCGGCCAGGATCTCAGGCCAAAGTGCTCGCGATGCGCCGGTTTGAATATATATTACCACTGCGCTACGGGAACTGCTTCAATTAAACGTGTTCCTGTATTCAGGATCTGAACCCCACAAAAGCGTCAAGAAACAGACGTGAACAAGATGAAGACGTCACCATAGGCTGCGTGAGACAGGGTGCCGTCGTTCACGCCATTACCTCTTTCTCTGACGAATCGCTCTTGTTTGAGTTTAGATATTGAAAAGACTTGAATTTGTTTAATCTCTCTTAGACAGATCTCTATGATCTACTAACCTTGCATCACCGACAGTAAACTCCTTATCCATCGCTCTCTACGGCAAGATTGTAAGAGTTTCGGGGTGGGTCAACAGTACTATTACTGCACGTGGGTTCAATAACAACGTTCATTCCTTCCTTTACAGAACGGACAAATATATTGCGTGGGTCGTGCAAACTTTACCACCAGGCACCATTGTTTATCTTATTCCAATAATAATAATAGAAACAGACTCAAAAGACTAGTTTTCGTTATATTTCTATTCAATATAAAAATTACCTGATATATTTCTCTTAGCATATTGTTGGACTTGATCAACCCACAAGAGAGAAAGACTAACTTTGCTCAATGGTAGCAATCTTTGGTAATAATGACACAGTTACTGCTAGCCTCCGCTCCGTGACTCAGACGCGCGAGTGTGTGTGTGTGTGTGTGTGTGTGTGTGTGTGTGCAGGGAAGCTTATGCTATATAGAGCAGTCCCTCCTCCTAAGGATTTCCCAACGTCAAGAAGATGGTCAATTTAATGTTTCCTCTCCTAATCTACCAGAGGACCCAAAACTGAAAACGGAACAGTACGTCACTTTCGCGAACCGCTTCCATTTTCTAGTACGACCATTTTTGGCCTTATGTAACGCATACGATCGAAAAGCGACGTTCTTTGTAGGAGGACAGGATGATATAGAAGCCAGGGATTAGAATTGTTGGCTCAAATCCGACCATGTGAACATTGAGAGTACACTTGAGGGTAGAAAACTAGGATGTGAAGATGAGCTGCCAGCCTCCGCAGAGGACTTGAGGTGATAGCAGGTGTAGTGACACCTGTATACCCTAGCCTGGGGCTGGTGATAGCAAGTGTAGTGACACCAGTATACCCCTAGCCTGGGGCGGGTGATAGCAAGTGTAGTGACACCTGTATACCCCTAGCCTGGGGCGGGTGATAGCAAGTGTAGTGACACCAGTATACCCCTAGCCTGGGGCGGGTGATAGCAAGTGTAGTGACACCAGTATACCCCTAGCCTGGGGCGGGTGATAGCAAGTGTAGTGACACCAGTATACCCCTAGCCTGGGGCTGGTGATAGCAGGTGTAGCTACACCTGTATACCCTAGCCTGGGGCTGGTGATAGCAAGTGTAGTGACACCAGTATACCCCTAGCCTGGGGCGGGTGATAGCAAGTGTAGTGACACCAGTATACCCCTAGCCTGGGGCGGGTGATAGCAAGTGTAGTGACACCAGTATACCCCTAGCCTGGGGCGGGTGATAGCAAGTGAGGGGTGACACAAACAATTTCAGTACATGACCTCCGGCGCCTAAATTTCCTCCCTCACTCTCCTTCACCTCACATTCTCCCTCCTCCATTTCTCCCTTCCCTCCTTCTCCACACTTCCCGGCTCCGCTCCTCCAGCAACACGCCGGACGTGATGCTGGTGTTCCTACTCTTTTACAAGTGTTCCCCTGAGGCTGTTACCGCAGTGCACAAGCTGGGGTGAGAGGCAGATTACTGTGGACCCGCGGGGTGTTGATGGTGGGGTCGGGGGCGGAGGGGGCGTGAGGGAGAGGGGGGAGGGGTCGTGAGAGAGAGGGGGGAAGCGGCGGGGAATTAGTTGTCTTGAAGTCTTCTTTACTTCTAATTCTCTTCCTCAGCTCTTCACCCTCCGTAAACAGGAATATATATATGTGTTGGTAAGGTGTGCCATATGCCAGTTTGGCATGGCACTTGGCACCTCCCGCCTCCAGTACTTCTATCCTCATATTTCCGTAGCAACTTTTTATTTTTATTATGACGGAATCAAACGCTTTCTGACAAGCAGAAATACACCGCCAACCAAGCCTCCCACCTCTCCTCTTTCTCATTATTTGGATGAAGGACTCTTCTCAGTTTCTTGAGTAATGATTTACCGTCATCGAAGACATTCTGTTGCTCGTATAAGGGGGACAGCCGTCTTAGTACTCCAAGAGCCGTGTTCTTACGAGAGTCCGGAAGACCTCGCAGGGAGTGCATGCGTGTCGTGGCCCGGCCTTGATAGCTCAGTGTGGCTCCTGTCTCTTCCGTCTATCATTTATATAGTAACCACATGACCTGTTTTACATGTTCGTGACTCTTCTCACTGCAAGGGGGAACTTTTCTTGTCTTTGTTAGTACCTAAGGTAGGATTTGGTCCGGTTCCGTGGCTTTCGCTCTATCCAGTCGGCTCTTCACCTTCGTGGTCGTCACCTCTATTTCCCTCAGTTCCTCGTCATTTAGAGCTGTGTCTCACCTGCGAACTCTATCTTCATGTGAGCTCTGTCTCATTTATTACAATTTCCTTGATATTGTCTGCGAATCCGTCTTCGATCCTCTTTCAATCTGATTGAAAGAGAAGTGGAGAAGCTTAGGTTGATCAGTATATCCTTGGATGCTATATCATTTTCACATTGCTTCTCTACCTCTTTTCATATTTTATCGTTGTTATTCCTGTATTCCACTTTGTTATGTTCTTTATGTAACTTTCTCATGTCTTTCTTTGATGCCTCTAGGCATTCCTTGTTGAACCTTTGGTTGATTTTATACTCTGAGGTCTTACTGGGGTAAATACATTTGCTCACCATTCTTTGTGCTTGCTTGTTATGTAATCAATCATTTCCCAAGACGATTTCTCCTAGAGTTCCTGATCCCATTGTTATTCCCATTCCTTCACCCCCCCCCTCCGTCCCGTCACAAATCCTTATCCTGATCCTTTCTAAGTGCTATGTAGTCGTAATGGCTTGGCGCTTACCGCTGATAATTTCCTCCCTCCCTAAGGGTTCCCACTACCATGGTTCTCCCTGAATTTCCAGCAATTTCCACTGGAGAATGCTAGCTTATCTCCATCTCTCATTCTTTCCATTGTTTTCACTAAGATCACGTTTCCTAATGTGTGTGTGTCTAATGCTCTGACTCACGACCTCTGTCACGTCTACGATATATATTTCACAC